CCCCAATGATCTCATACAAGATCAATTCACGTGACAGTAAATATATGAGTAACAAACGGTGACTATTTGTTTACTTGCAATGATTTAACGCTGAATTAAAGTGACTATATAATGCAATACTCTGATCAAATTAAGAGAGTGTTGATTAAATAACCATTTACTGGCTACTTCAGAAAAGATCCGGACATATTTTTAACTCAAGCACAATCTATAAACCATTTAGGGATTACGTAGGAGAAAAAAAAGCGGGCTCAGCTATTGGGGTCATTGAACACTCAGAGCATCGACAAAACGGAGAGAAATTAGGACCAATTGGTTGGCCATCGCAAGGAATACCTAAAGGGCGTCGTGCATATGGAGACGCGATATGAGAAAGCACTCCGAGAGCAGCCAGAAGATCAGAAAATCACGTTGTGGGTATCAAAAGAGGGGCATAAAAGTACGAGAGTAAATAAAGGTCATGCAGATGGATGCCAGATACCGACCCAGGTATTCAGTTCATTTAAGCGACGTACAAAATAGGAGTTTGCATAGCAAAACAAGTGAAAAAGATTACTTTCAGGAAAATTTCATAAGTCATAAAAAATAGCAGGTTTGACCAATTGAATATTTCCATATGCGTAAATAGGTTCTCAATAAACGTTGAACCCAATCAGTCACCCAAAAGTCTATTTAAGATATCATAGTATCAACTTCCATGAATATACCAATCAACCCTTATACGCCTCTTTCAAAATAAGCTCCATTGGTACTAGACTCGTAAGAGAAAGCGCTATTGACGCTTGAAACATTTTCAATACGTGTTTATAGCCTTTGCATGATACACCGCCAAAGCTCACCACATCTGCGGCATTAGTCTACTGTGAGATACACTGTGAGTGCGTTTGAGTACATGTTTCAAAAATAAATGGGGCATTAAAGGGTATTAGAGTAAGCCCACATTTCCCTCACAGAAATCCCCCCCCCCCAAATAACGTGCTTTCTTCAAATAGGTCACTGAATTGGCACAACTCAAGCGAGTTGGGGAAATCCCCTATGCAAGTATAAGTATTTATTTATTTCAAATGGCAGGCTTTGTGATATTTATCATTAGCCCTTAAACTTTGACTTCAGCTTTCCCCATGGGTGGGGGGGGATACATTTATAGCAGTTCATTAGCTGTCTTCTTGCTTCCCAGTATCTTTGGCTTTCCGTCGTTGTCTCTAGGGCTGGACATCGAATCAGGTGGGTCTTCCCCATTTCCTCCTGTAGGTAACATAGAGGGCATGTGCGTTGAGTGTATACTCCCAATCTGTGAAGATGTTTTGCCAAGCAATCGTGTCCGGTGCGTAGTCTAAACTCAGCAACGGCTTCGATTCTTGGCCAGTCGGCTATATCGGAGAATGCCACTGTCCACTGTTTCTCCTTTGTTCGAGCTTTAAGTTCGTTGCACCTTGAGGTCTTGAATTCTCTTCTAATTAAGGCCTTCATTGTGTGGAAAGACATCGGGCGGTCCATGCATTGCAAAAATTTTGACTTCTAATTTGACTTCTTCGTTTTAAATAATTGTACTTCATGAATGATGAATATGATTTTCGAATTATAGTTTCTTTTTAACGACAAATAGGTGAGAAAATAAATCGAAGTCAAAATCGAATGCCGGGTGATAGACTTTTTGTCCTATGAGTATACGTTGTCCAGGGTGCACCACGTGGAGGTAAGTCTATCGAGTTGGTGAACTCCCCAATGCAAGTATAAGTAAAACCCAGATTATCACTCACGAAGTGCTCAAAAGCCTAACTTTCATTGTCCTCGGGCCTGCTACTGCAGCCGCGAGGAAAGTAAGACAGCAACCGAATTGCAGAATCGCTTAAAAAAATTCCACACCCTCTTAAGGCTCAATCAGAGAAATTAACAACTGAAAAAAACGGAATATTCACCGGTAAAAATATATAGGGGAAAAAAGTGTCCCCCCCCCTCCCCTCCCCTACGTAGTAGTGAAAATTTGATTTTAAAGCATTGAAAGGTAATTTCACCAAAATCCTAATGTCCATAGCTAGGTCACCAGGAGGGGTTTTGTGGATGGAAACATTTTCGTTTCATTCTCTTGAGCAGCTTAAAAAACGGGAAGTGTCTGCGTGTGTCCAATTCCTTTTTTGCCTACTTGCCGTATCCGAAAGATAAACGTAAAAAAATACACGAAAATGGCAGAACATACTCCTCCTCAATGCAGGCTTAGAAAACTCAAAAGATCCAATACTTTTATTCCCTTCTGGCTGGTCATGATAGTTTGAAGTCAACTGCCGATTTATTGACATTTTTGTCGATTGAGTATACGTTAACGCTAACTATTTTAAAGCCTATATATGTGTGTGTGTTCCCCCCCTTCTGCTAAGCCCGAAGTCTGCTAAGGGGCTTATGATAACTATCATAGAACCTGCCTCTGATAAGAATAAATAAATATTCTCTTCTCAAAAATGTCCTTGTCCGAACAGCATTTCGTGTATTAGCTTTAAAAATTACTGAAATTGTGCCTCTTAAAGTCAACGAGCCGACATCACAGCCAAATATAAGAATAAAGAGTTCTCTTTGTTAACGCGGAAAAGAAAAGTTGCAGAATTCACTTAGTTCACATAGTCGATATTCAATACAATGGAAAGGAAATATCCAATTGAGCCCAAAAATTCGTCAATATATATATATATATATCTTATTTTATATAACCATTTTCTTCGTAAAACAATACCGTTAGTATCAATCTATCGGACTTACTTAGTAGAAAAAAAGGTGCTTTTCAACATACCTGAAGTTGTCGATAAATCGGACTGTATTTTTCTCCAGTGGCGCAGTTGTTCCTCCCGATGCCACACAAGCGATTCGAAATCCCGAGCCACACCTCTTCACAAAGTCCCGAGTTCGGTGTGTGAAGTCTTGCCAGTCGTTTGATGAACTGAATTCTGACGTCTCTCTATCTAGCCATGTCTCGAGTGAATCCATGCCTGCTTTTTTACGAAGTAGACAACAATAATGGATAGTAAGTGCTCAAAAAAATAACAATTTGTTCCAAAAGGATTAAATTACTCGAAAACTACTACGGAAAAGTCAGTCATTCACAAATAGTGACCATCTTTAAGCGAATTAAATGAACCGATTCTCCTCTGTTTACCAAAACTACCTCNGGGGGAGGGGGAGAGAGCAATTTGATGTTAAGGAGACCGGTCAAGAGACGATGGAAAGTCAACCCAATATGCATCCGATTTTGTTCTTGCACTGTACATTCTCATTATTTGTCTATGTATATACAAGTATTTGAATATCTCTCCTTCTTTCTATAAGTCGATTATACTCCGAATCGCTTCATCTACAGTAGGATCTTCCGAATGTTTTAATCGTTGGCAAGATCCGTCTTCTTCGGTTGACTGCCTTTGATATTTGCTTGGCATTTCTGTCCTTGACGTACTGGGAGGGAGAAATTCCTGAAAATGATGTGGAAAAAAAATGTATCACTACATATACATATCAAAGCACGGCTCATATAACTAACTACTGCAAAAGGTCTAGAGGTATGTTAGAAATGAAAGCATCAGAAACTAAAGGGCAACCTCAACCCCCTTGTTGATTAACACAGAGGATAAATGTGATCGAGTTCAATAAAGCATAATCAGATTTACAAACCTAGAGTCGATTATTCAACATTGGTGATTTCATAACAAGCGTAGATGGTAGCCAGTTCAGATATTAACTACAAATACCTCCAAGCTGATCGGTCGCACGTTCCCAAAATCCTTCAATCCACTTTTACATCACTCTTGTCCCAACTTGGTCTCCAACTCTCATATCCGGGAGAAAACCTTGCACTTCTCCTTAAACTATGAGATGAATCTGGCCAATAGTTCACTGTAAGTTAGAAACAAAGGCGGGTATTCGAAAAGTGGGAAGAATTCAATTTTGGCGCACTAATTTGGCATCATAACAATTTCAGCTTTAGCCGATTGCCCAATTGACGCAGAATTCTTATGGAAGGGTGGGGGGAGGGGAGGGGGGAATGGCAGCCTTCCATTTCACAACTCAGAGGTGCAGCTGCAGAGTCAATCAAAGTGATGATAATCCAACTTATTCGAATTACCTGATAAAAGTCAAATCCTAATCGAAATATAACATTATTTGTCTAACATAAAGACAACCTTTGTTACAACTCGATATCTATTCGGAACATTTTTATCAAAAGAGTGTAATGACCACGTGACATCCTCTTTTTAGCTCACTAGGAAAAAAATACAGTTGAGTGTGCCGGCGTCGCAGTGGTTAATATGTCCGGCGTAGAGTTGTTCGACATCCATCGACGTATACTCTGCATTGGTTAAGTTGTTTTTTTTTAATTTGAGATACCATTCCGTCCTCATATTTTTAACCATACAATGAAACAGAACTTTTTTGTTCTCTCCCAGGACAAGTACTTACGCAAAAGTCGATCAACGCTACCTCTCTCCTCCTTTCGATATACCTATTCTAGATGCTGAGGTGTGCGATAGACTTACCTCCAAGTGATGCACCCTGGGCAACGTATACTCATACGGCAAAGTCCAATAACCGGCAGTTGACTTCTAACTACAAACTACCTTCACCCCACTATGTGTCATATTCCACAACTTCCACAGTACTCATCTCACCTCTGTCCCTACCTTTGTGTTTGTCTCTTTTACATCTGTGAATCTCACTTCTCTTCCCCTTCTCCACTTTTATTTGACTTTGATGTTCCTTCGCTATGTAAAGCCCGAAGTCAATTTGATATTAATTCTAGATACTTTATAAGAAATATCCCTACCCCCAAAATAAGGGATAAAAGCCTAAAATGGTTCCAAAGCCCATTGAGGAGAATTCCAGAGCCCTTTGTGGTAGCCGAGGTCTCAATGTCAGACCACATAATAAAATCCCTTTTAGACTAGGCTTAAATTGATTTGAATGAGTGCAGGTCTTGTACTTATTTCACAATATGCTACAGTTACCGCCCCTTTTATGCCAACACATAGCTTTCAAGTCGTTTAGGAAAAAATGTTTCGCAAAACTCATTTTGAATAAAGAAGTAACATTAAGGGGGATTCTCCATCAGATCCCACCAGTAGTCAACCGATTCCACTCATTGAATGTACATCAATGAGTGCTGAATCCATGACCTCTTAAACGATCACATAAACCACTGCACCATTGGTGCATATTTAAGCAAACATTAATGAGGTTCAAGATGAAGTATTTACCATTGATAAACTATTGAGTGGAGGGATAGAACCATGTTCACCGAAATTATTCAGACTAATATCCTGGACTTCATCCTCCTCCACCACTACGTTTGCTATATCGACATCAGGAGACGGGGGTCGAAAACCAATATCACCATCATCATCAGCGTCAATATTCATATTGCCTATCTCCCAGGTTGGCCATGCGGAGTCAGGTGGAATACCTCGAGGGGTTTCCAAGTCTATTTGTTCCCGCGGTTTTGGAGGCTTCTTTTCCTCTACCTCGTCCTCAAGTTGAAGAGCAGCTGGTCTGGAGTTGCCGTTTTCGTCGAATTCAAGAGTAATGAAGTCGGGCGCAGCATCTTCCAGTAACTGACGAATTCTCTTGGCCGATGGAGGCTGTGCTCCCTCAGCCATAAGGGTCTTGATTTTATTGAAAGCGGTCCGCTCAGCCTCCAAACGCTCGCTTTCACTGTCTCTTAATATTCGGGTGAGTGGTATCCGGTCGACAGACGGACGTTCCATTAGTTGCTGTAGGGGAAAGAATAATAGAGTACAAAGGCAGCCACGACTGGTTGGATGTTTACAGAATAGAGGTGGGATCAGACAAATTTCATTAAGCCTTTCGAGAGGGAGCTTATTATGGCCAAGCTGATCAAGTTTAGATATGCTTTGGCTCAGCTATACGGGCTTAGTAATCAATGTACTAGTCTTGAAGGTAGCTGCAAAGAGATTAAAACTTCCTCTCATCTTGGTTTCTGAAAATTAAGTCAACAGTTACATGGATTTTTCGACCACGCGAACAGTGGTGCAGTTCAGATCACATGATGTCAAATATTTTAATTTATAAGAAGTTAAAGTACGAATTGATTCAAGAAACTTTTTTTACAAAGAGGAATTGTGCAAACAAGCTCACATGACCAGTTAAATTAAGCAGTCAATCCTAGGTGAGTTGAAGAGGGGCATTTACAGCAGTCTCTATGAACAGGGGAGTAGAATTTTGGGGTCCTCGCAGACTCAATTTAACAATTTTAACTAGTGCAGCTATTCACACCGTTCATTTGAAGTAACCTCCGTCTTCATATAAGTGAACGCTAACCATACAGCAATCAGGTGGGAAATCGTGCTCAGAAAGACTACTAATCCGACCGACTGGACACAAATGGCAAATAAATTTTTAGGGCTTCTTAATAAATTGCGGTGGCCCTTCAGCCTCCTCGGGGATGGCCTACTTATGTAAAATACTCAAAGTATGTTAATCGTGATTGGTTGATCTACTACCGTTACCTACATATATTAACAAAGCAAAAGGAAACAACCTACCCATTTCTCCACACAGAGGATGGAATTAATAGCGTCCACAGTCTGGCATTTCCTAGTATTGAGTTGACCAAAAGCCTTATCCAATATATCATCCACTGAAAAGGAAAAATAAAACATAAATAAAACATTCCCCGTTATTTGATGATTAGAAAACCCTTTCTAAAATACCCTTCTCTAGGGCTTCAGGTGAATTATCCATGTCCTGGTGGACATGATAAGGAGCGAGGAGATTAACTAGCTCCTCCAATGTCGGGAGCGGCTTGGTGGACACATCGCCAGCATCATCTGTTGATGATGAAACAGGTGGCCGAGCATTCGAGGTCATTTGGTCCGCGTGAAACAGATCCCGTACTGCATTGTGTCGACGCAGTTGTTGAGCAGATGGTTGAGAAAGAGGATTCGGTGTTTTTTGAGGAGCTGTTCGACTTACAGCCGGAGCCGCTGATTGTGGAGGCGCAGGTCGAACTATGGGAATTGAAGGACCAATAACGGACACTTTCACAGGCAGACACTTGGATCCAGAATCTTGAAAAGGAAGTAATGTTGTCATTTGATTTTATGCTTTAATAAATTTTCGTAGCAAAGTCAGAAACTATGACGGAAATCATCAACATCACTAACAAACACAAAATAATTGATAGAATGTGTACCTTTCATCCAAAGACTCCAAAACACACTCCAAGATAATAGCTTAATAAGTTACTCCTCTTTCTTACTGACATGTTGAAAAACACATTCTTTAATAGAATTTTGACAACAACTTGAATGTCTGTTAGGTCAAAATTCATGAGATCGACACGCACTCAGCGATGCGAATGGCTAACCACTATGATCATGAGAAGAATGATAGAATGTGAGTCCTTCAACAGAACAAACATAGAATACCCTGCTTCTCTCCAAGCTAATTGTCCATAACAGTGCGAAATGAAAGTTTACGCTGCCAATATGACCTGGATGAATAACCATCTGTAGTCAGCCGCCTCAAACAGATTATTTTCAACATTAAACTATAGATTCTCTCTGTAAAATCACACGGCACTTTCTAACATCCGCTTTCATGCTCGCCCAAGCTTCAAGCTTTATCCTTGCACGTAATAAAGCCCTTCAACCAACAATATCTCATTGTCTTGGTGTGGAGTGAAAATTGTAAGAAGTTAGAAGGGTGGCAGCTCAGAAAAATTCACTGGTCCCCTAAATAACTTGACACAACAGTTTTTTTCTCTCAGTGATCATGAACTCAAAGAGTATATAAGTAGCAATAGCTTACCAGTGGAATTCCCAGCTGAATTAGGAGCCAATGGAGGTGCAGGAGCCAATACACACATTGGAAGGGGTAGTCTAGATTGAGGAGGTGGTTGCACTTGAGTAGATTGAGCAATCCCTGGTTGGGGAGCCGCATGAGCAATCTGATTGACAGGAGGGCGCACAAGTCGTAATTGAGCAGCAACTGGAGGCGCAGGTCGAGGATGTGTGGCAAAGAAACGCATCTGCTCAGTCTGGTACACTAATAGAACATCGGCCTTCTTTTGGTTTGTTGGCAGAGTGTAGATGAGACTCTCTAGATCGGCCTTCTGAGTGCGAGTTAAGTAGAGCTGATAGCGCTGAGAGTTTAATCGAAACTCTACGAGGACACTCTCGCCTCCGGTTTGATTCACAGGCAAGAGACGATGCTTCATAAGGAGATTGACCACTTCAGTACGCTGAAATGATGCAGACACAAACATGAATTTGGGGACTTAATATGCACTAACTACTCGCTAATAAATAGTAGCGCGAATTAACACGATGGGGCCTGTACGTCGTGTAGAATTACGAAATACAATGGTGGGAAAAAAGGACGAAAATGGAATGAAATTCTACAAATTTGCCACGACAACAGGATTAGATACCTAAACAAAAGCAAGTTAAAACACTTGTTGACAGGAGTTGGAAAAGGGAGAGGAGGGGAAGTGGATTAACGCAAGCTACGTAAAAAAAGAGTAGGTAAACACGTTATATTACTAATCTTGCATCTTTCATAACTCCGTAAATCCGTGGAAATCGCCTAAAAGTTTTCTCAAGAAAGCTCCTCGTGTTATAAAAAGTCCTAGCTCTTTTGAGATAAAAAAAAAATGTCGGATCGAATTGAATCAGTATAAGTCTACCACCATTTCAACACTGTAGCGAAAACCAATAAAGTTAAATTGATATTTTGACATTAGTCCGGAAGTGTTACCTTAGCGCCTTGATCACCGCCAAAGCAACTTCCTACGAACTCATAAATCCACTTCACTTTCGAGATATTGATTACTACTGATTACTTAAAACGTATTACAAATGTCAACCGTATGAAACCACTGCCCCATACTATCGTTTTAACTCCTTTGAGTTAGCAAACAAACACCGTACAGTCGAATCAAACTATATTTAGTCGCCTACCTCCGAGTTGGGACTTATCACCTAGGGTGTAGTGATCGGTGTCATAGCCTGTAACGCAGCGGTTAGAACAGAAAATGAATGTTTGACGGAGGGTGAAAAAATTTTACCACAACATTATCTAAGGAATGTTAATAACCCAAGTTGCAATTTGCACTACTTTGACCTTAACAGTTGAGCCTGTGGCACTAATTCACTCAATTATAAGGGCACATGGATGAGAGCTGCAGATAGTTTTTCCACTGTGCAATGGTTTGCCCTTGTCTTCACTGAAATTTGCCATTTCAACAGAGCCCACTCTTTGCGTTTACACAACTTAACTGATATAAACTAAAACGAAGTTACATTAATTTGATCTTAGAGCTCAAATGAGTCATAATGGCGATAGCGCTAATCCAAAACACAGCGTACAAGGGTGATTACGCAGCCTTCACTTTAGCCCGAGCCGAAGGGCACAGATCTGGTGGATACAAAACACGAGCTTCAACAACGCGATGTAAATACCAGTCAGGTGACAATTAGTATAGACGATTGAATGTTAGTGAATGGTTTTTTTTCTATTTTATAAGCTTATTTAACCAGTAGGGTTATTACAGCTAGAAAAGAAAGCGAAGAGACATAGAGCATAGCATTTAATGCGATCTTTAAGCTTTTAATAAATTGTGCGTTTTTCTCACACCTCAACTTGTAATCTCCTTTGAACAGCGTCAAAAACACTTGGTTCTCTCCCATTAGAACTCTTTCTGAAGCTCCAGAGGCAAGGCTTTATTCAAGGAAGAGAATGGCTTGAAAATGAGAGGTGTCGATATGGAAATACAGTAATTAATAATTATCAAACTGTTTCCACTGACAGAATTACTTCTCAATTTATGTGAAGTAGTAAGAATAGCGATTCACTGTGCACAGTTCGAATTGAGCTGCAATACATTTTCACTGAAACGTGAGCCTGCGTTTGGATAGGATATAGCGTCATATAAACCGCAAAAAATATTATTTTGCTAACCCAAATTTCCTCTTCCATAGTGTTCAATTAAGCACACCTTGCTTCTCTACCAAGCTCACAGCTGAGGCTCAAAAATTCAGACAATTAATTGGATGATTGACTTTTCTGATTTCTTGCAAAAAAGTTCCCAGAATTGAGGGAAGGTACCATGGAATCATTCTTATGAGAAACTTGCATTCTACCACCTCTCTCATTGATGACCAGTCTTAAGTAGCAGCACTATTAGTCACATTCAGCTCACTGGGTGTGCACCAATTGCCATCGAACCCATGACCATTGACTTTCCAGACACGCGTTAACCGTTGCGCGCAACAGCACAATTTCTTATCGGAAAAAAGTTATGCACAGCACAGTTCTGTCTATTTTCCACCTCGTATCCGGTGAAGGTCATAAAAATTGAAAGGAAGATGTAATAACAATACCACTCTATGCTATCCTAATAAATAGAGCTACAAACTTTCCTGCACAAGTGCATAGCCTCCAATACGACAAATGAAAAGGAAATAAAAACTAAGTATGGCGCGTAGGAGAGTGAGGCAACTAAAAGTACAACTTCTAATTCAATTTACCTACAGTAAGCTCACCGGTTTAAGACTTCTAAGAGGCTGCAAGAAAGCGAAGAGCAATCAAGTCAGAGAAGACAGAGAAAAGAAAAGGCGGGCAAAGAGGGACCAGTGACTTACCACAGCTGGTAGGATATTCGTAGGCGGACCTGGAGGCCGGGGTCTTAGAGAAGCATTTTGTGGCGATCCAATCGCTGGTCTGAAAACAGCAGAAGGATTACCAGCTCCACCAGCAGCCGCTACAGCTTTATTCCTATTTAGTTCAATACTCCGCTGGACTTTATCTCGTGCATCGACTAGTTTCTGCAGCCGAGTCTTTTGTTGTTCACTCAAGGGAGTACTCATGTTCTGTAGATTGCTAATCTCCTGATTCAATTGGCGTAAAACAGACCCTGGATCCGCTCTGGTGGCAGGCTGAGGAGGAGTGGGTTTTGCAGGCTGGAGAGTAGGTCCAGGTGAACCATTGCATCCAGTTGGTATTGAAATTGGAGGAGTTGGTGTCGTTACCATAGCAACTGTTGGAGATGGGACTGGAATCGGGTTAGGTGGTGATGCTGCTGCTGCAATGTTGTTATTTGGCAAGATGGGGCAACCTCCATTAGGCAGTCGGGTTACTGTAACTCCTGGAGGTATCTGTACAAATGAGCAAAAGAAAAGAACTTAATTTGAATAGTAAATAATTGTTCAAGAAAGGTAGAAAGTAAATCATATCCTCTATCGAAAATCTGAAAGAGATGCGTCTACTAGCTTTGCAAAAGCTGTCTTGAAAAAAGTTTAAGTCATTGAGATGAGTATTAGTGAACAACTGGGTGTGAAACCATAAATTTTGATTACAAGAGAGCTAGTTTGGCAGGCCTGTACGCCATCAATACACCAACAGCTCAGGAATTAGCTTTGAAAATGAATACATTATTCTCCGCCTTCACTAGGAAACGGACTAAGAGGTCAGTAAAGACACAGCCAAACGAGGGACTACGGAAATACAGGCTCTTAGCGAGTGTAAAGAGTTAGAGAAAGGGCAAAGTGTACGCAATAAAGAGTGCTTGTGGGTGATACAACTATTTCCTGCACTTTTAGTGAGGCGCACCACTGAATCTTGCTATTGTTCAAATTATCTAATCATACCACAAGCATATAGTGGCATAACTTATGGTTGACCTCAAAAAGGATTAGGCTACACTGTGTAATTTCGGCATTACAGACAGACCGCGAGTAAGCTTAGAAGGCAGACCAGATTGCGGGTATTCAGTGTACCACGAAACAACTTTTATTATTTTACGGCCTACATACGCCAAGCGAAGCAGTAGCTATATATTAGCCAAAGATACACGTGCCATGGCCTTATTACTTATGCTAGCTATAATCTGGAACTTAGCAACCATTATAAAGTTTATTCCTCTGTAAAAATACTGATTGTAACATAGCAATTAAATGTAAATTTCCCTGAGTATGGCTTCAAATGCGAAATTAGCATTCAATTGATCCAAAAAACACTGTTCCAGTAGCATATTATTCAAAAAAGCTCCACACTAAACCCTGATTTAACGAAAATCTCCCATATCTTTCAATTTTAACATACATAATAAACTGATCGAAGAAATTTATTTACCAAAACTTCCTTCAAACGTTAAGTAATTAGCAGTTTCATAAAAGTTAAAAGACAAAATTTTATCAGATAAGATATAAGGATAATAAAACTCTTGGAGATTTCTATATACATAGGCACGAAATCGTTTTTTGGAGACATCTAAATTTCACTTAGATTATTTGCTCGTTGCCGCAGGAAACCACAAACCCCCCCCCCCCCCCCACCACGAAGGTAACCTAAAAGGTGATAGTCAAACACTAAAACTACGCAAAGTAAATCTGCAGCTATATGTAGAAGAATTCCATTAAAAATGCAGTAATAGAGCTAATTTAACTAGAAAAATTAAGATCTCACCTACACTCTAAGGGTTTTAAAGTACACTCTAACCTTACAAATGACGAGAAGTCAGAAGACTAAATTCAAAATAGAGGCAACTTCCAAGATATTATGAGTAAAAACGATATGCTTTGAAAATTTGTAAGAAAAATATGCACATATTAACAGTATTGATCTTAGTATCAAAGATCATTTTGACCCAAATGTTGCTCATATTCCTCAAGACCCTCCCTGCAATATAACCTAATAGTCATTCGGATTTAAGTTTCCAGATGTGAAATGAGGCTAAGCTCAATCTCAACTTACTAGTTCTCTGTCTAGCGTTTTCCCCATTGCTTCTAGAATCTGAAGTTAGGTGAGCAGTAGTCCACTCTCCAATTCCTGTTTAAAATATTTAATAATACCAAATAAAACTGGCTCTTGTTCTACAAACAGTCTTTAAACAAAGTAATAAAAAGTGAACTAATGTTTTTACTTTCCTTTTTAGCAATATCCATATCATACTATAAAAAACGTTGCTTGGAACAGATAATAAATGAACCGCATCAATGAGTGACTTAATGTTTGGAAAACTCCCATATACGCACACATAAGTGTGATTTTCCACGTGAATCACAAAAATCCGACACACACAACAATTCAATTGAATTAAGCACAAAAAGAAACTAAGGCCTCGAATGAACCAACTCATCACTGACAAAAGTTACGGGAACCAGCAAAAAAAGGTTCAGTACAGATGAGAAACGAAACAAATCTTAGAAAATGAACTTGAAACAGTGCAAAATATGATAGATTTAGAAATTAAACAACTTTAAAATGACAAGAAATAAGAGTGAAGCAAACTGCTGCGCTCGCAAAATATTCCTATCGGCAAAGTTGACATGATAAAGAATGTAATGGATGAACCTCAAAAACCAATACGCACAAATCAGATTGGCTAAACCCCCAACAAATCAAAACACTATCTAACCTGGCTGTATGGATGTAAAGTGGCGAATGAAAATTGACCAATGTTAATAAATTCTACGCTGATTGGTTAGTGTGGTAAAACATTCTAATTGGCAATGCTTTCTTGCATTGATATTGGTTGTGAAGAAAGAAAGATGGCTAACGTGGTTATTAAAGAGGAAAATGCATGCAAATATTGGCATTAAATGAACACTCGCTTGTTGGAGAGGTGATTGTTGCTGGACTGCTACCGGAGGATTCGCGCAAACGAGGGGTTGGGGATTCATGGCCGATAGTACATTAGCCGGAGGCTGTTGCTGAGGTAATTGAATTAGACCAGGAGCTTGCTGTGGTCCCAGAAAAAAAGTCATAGGAATCTGTTGACCGGCAGATGGACCTCGAACTTGGAACTGGGGTTGCGGCGGAGCAATCATATAGGATGTTCCTTGTGGTTGTGCTATTACGAATCCATTTTGCTGAGGACTGCAACAAAAAGGGTAAATTTCAATAAACAATAATGAAGTGCTATCTAGCACGTTCAAAAGCCACCTACTTCGCAAGAAAAATTTGTTGCCCGAATGGAATACCCTGATAAATATAAGGAGATGATGAAATGAGACCAGGTTTGCCAGAAGGGACGCTGTTTACGACATTGTTATTTCCCTGAGGTATGGATAACGTCCCATTGGCATTTTGGATATAACTCATTGTCGAAGAAGAGCCGGGATTTGACATGATAATTGGATTTAGACATGATGGTTGATCTGATTGGACCGGCTGAACATTCAAGCTAGATGGCGATGGCGTAGGAACTGGTTGGGCGATTTGAATTGGCTTGGGAAGAGCATTCACGGCACTTTCAGCTACCGCTAATTGCTCAGATGATGGGCTTAAGGTAGAATCAAACATCAGTGCAATATAATTGCATAAGATGCATTGAGATCAGTTAATAAAAAATGGACCATTTTATGTTGACCTGGAATGAACCTTGTAGTAATATGTACAATACGAAAAGCAAGATACTGTTATACTAAATCAAAACACATCAAAGATATAAAAGTAAATCTAGCTACAAGAAGCTAAATTTAATCAAAGAAGAATCAAGAACTTACTATGTGGGATTCATAAGTCCGTCCACTGCAATAAATGAATTCAGATATGTGTAAATATGACCTCAATTTGTAAAATATCGTTCAATCAACGTAGCAACTAAAAATTCCTTATTTTCATTCAAATATTGGAAATAAACCCAAGAAATATTTAGCAGAAGACCGCCAACGCTTTTAGTCAGTTGACCCCTTCACAATAGATACATACAAACAAAGCTCAGAACATTATCTTATGAGTCACAAGGTAAAGCTTGTCGTTAAAAATACATTAAGCATGTAAAAATTATTTTTAATTAAAATATCAATCTAGAATATTTGATTTCATTTTAATTCATCCACAAAATCTTCAATGTCTTTTACACATTCATTAGAAATACTTCAATAATCAGTGCAAAGTATAAATGATACGCGATTAATAAAATAGAGCTAAGATAAATTATTTTATTCGACACCCTCAATATTTCGGCTAATCAAGCCATTTTTAACACATCCAGTATATTTTAACTTGAAATCAGTTATCCTAGTTTATTTTCAATCAACTTCTCTCAATGACAAACAGGCATGAATAGAAAAAATTAAACATATTTGAGCAGGTCATCTCAATACTTAATTCAAAATTATAACACTGGTTTTTTATGCAGGGAACAATTTAATGATGTCAGTTACATAAATTATCGTTTTTGTTTTGATAAATCCGATTGGTATTTTATAGCTATAAAAATTTCATAAATTAAATTTGATTTGGGTTGGGAAGCAAAATTGCCTTTGTCGGATTTGGACTAGTGTTGAAACAGTGATGGAAAAAAAATTAGTTTAAATTCGTTAATTTCTTCACATTATGCAAATATAATCAGCAAAGCGTCATTATTTCGTCTGTTAACTTACCTGGTGAATATATTTTATTCATTTCTTTGCCACTGAGCATACTAAATTGAATCGAACCCAAAGATAACAAATTTAAAGGATCAAATGTGTGGGTAATTCAGTAGTTAACGAGAGCTATTTATACATAGTATCACATATAATTATTCTAACATTTTATTGAAGAAAGGCTTTAAATAGAACTGGGTACTATATACATATTATAAAGTTAGGATCAAAAAATAATTTAATTCCAGTCGAATCATCAGGAGCAATGTACGAAATCCGATCTAGTTAGAAACAATCATAATTTTGACTCATTATCTGCATTTCAGTTCGAAACCCAAATTTTCTAGATATTATATTTCTTAATTTTAATACTGGGCACATCGTTTAACATTATACTAATTTCAGGGGTTTTGAACTATTATTATTATTAATATTATTTTACCATTTTATTGACTTGCAAGTACTCTAATTTTTCGAAGAGCAATAAGGACATTTGATACTATTTATTTCAATTAATTATCATATTATTGTCAGTCTTAATTTTGAAAATTGTCGCATTTTATTAAATTTATTCAAGTCAAAATATAGCAAGCATAATATCGTAGAACATATACTTCTAGTACCACTTCGACATTATAATTCATTAACTTTTTAGTGTTCTAAATCAAATTCATTTAAAATTAACTATATCGAGTTAATAACGAAATTTATCAATTGTCAACAATCTAATTTTAAACGGTTTGTTCAACCCGTATTGTTAGAGTCTCCGACTTTAATCACTTACCCGCCTCGTTTGTAGGGGTTTTTTATCACGTTGTTACAGAGCTTTCCTCCTTTAACACATAAGATGGATCCGCAAAAGATTGTTCATACCTTACAAGCCTCCCTACAGGCGGAACATCGAGAAGAAGCCGAAAAACTGCTGAACGAGGTAATAATGGTCTATTTTTCTGATCAAGCTAGATGCAAAGGATGACTGGGTTTGGTCCGACTCTGTTGCAAATAATTTTGGAACCATCATTAAACTTATCAATACGTCAATCTGGAGGCGTATTTTTCAAAAACATGATTCTGAAATCTTGGCGATACAAAGTCAATGATGAACTAGATGGTGAATTGTTTTTCGTCCTAGATGATTCCGATAAAAATAATATTCGAAGTGTAATCGTCGCCGCAATTGTGAATTCAGAGATTCAACTGCAGTATGAAAGTATTATTTTACAAATGCATCCTTCTTAGATCCATTCTAAAGGTGGCTCTTGAAAAGATTCTAAGAGTCGACTACCCATCACGTTTTCCCAACTTCGTTGATCAATTGGCAGGGACACTGAATTCTTCCGAATTTCGTGAATTTCACGGAGCTTTATCTTGTTTGCACGCTCTAATTAAAGTGTGTGAAAACAAGCCAACCGAAAAGAATTCTATTATTCAAATTATGGGTAATCTTTTGCCGATTCTCCATCACAGATTGGGAGTACTTGCCGCAGATTCTTCTGATAACTCGCTGATTCTTCAAAAGCTTATTTTAAAAATATTCTGCACTTTTACTAATAGTTTTATACAGCCTACAGTCCTCAATGCTGAGGTAAAATGTAAATGCTCACTATTCAATTTAATTTAGTGGATAACACAATGGCATATTCTTCTTTGCTCCCTCCTTGAAAGCTTTACTGGAGCTGATGACGATGATCAAAGTCTTTACTGGAAACGTCAAAAATGGGTTACTCGCACCTTCTGTATTTGGTTTAATAATTATGGAAGCCCGGGATATGTCGCCTCTAAATACAATGCCTTTGCTGATTGGTATCTGAAGAGTCATGTTCCTCCGGTTCTCACTTCATTTCTCAAAATTTGTGATGCCTATCGTCAAAAAACCTTTGTTTCAGATATTGTCATGAGCGCGGTGTTCCAATACTTTAGATCAGCGTAAGTGTGTGCCTTAATCTAATAATCCTCTTTTCTTAATATAGTATGCTGCATTCGTTCTCCTGGAAGCTTCTACTGGTTCATTTCGATTCCCTCTTGCGGGATGTCATAATCCCATGCATCTCTTATAATAAGGAGACGGCTGAACTTTGGGAGGGGGATCCATTGGAGTTCATTAGGTCTAACACCGACTATGAAACTGATGACACTGCTTGTGACGCAGCGAGGCTTTTCATCAAAAGAACTTGCACCAGTCGCAAGCGTATCTTGGATAAGTGTATGGAATACTGTGTTCAGCTTCTCAACAGCGATTTATCTCCCGAAATAAAGGATGGTGCCTTCCATTTGATTGGAACAGTTTGTCATAACCTCCTCAAAAATAAGGTCTATAAGGAGCAGTTGGAGAGTTTCATGACCACTCATGTTCTAGCTTTGTTTGAGGCCTCTGAGGGTTATCGTAGAGCTCGGGCTTGCTGGCTGGTGGGTAGACTGTCCCGAGCTGAGTTTAACAATAAGGAAATCTTGTGCCAAATTGCGGCGATGTGTCGCCATCTCATGTGCTTGGATCCAGACTTGCCTGTACGAGTTGCTGCAGCCAAAACCGTCTTTGCTTTGATCAATGACCAAGAATCTGTTAAGTCCTTAATGAGTCAATACTTTCCTGATCTCACTATGCAACTCCTCAAACTCCTTCGCGAAACCGAATTCGATGATTTGAATACGGTGTTCCGTACATTACTTGAGCATCAAGAAATTATCCCAATTTCTGTTCAAATTCTTCAGCATTTGGTAAGTAATACTAAATTATAATTTTTTAATGATTATTTTCATTGGAAAGTTGCAATTCTTATGAAGTAATAAATTATTTAAAACCGACATGCTTTAGGGCTTTTAATTAATTCATCGATGTGCAGTGAATTAATGGTTTCAATTGAAAATTTCTATTTAGACAAAGTACTATGCTCATTTAAACTTCGGTTTAGTCTTAGGAATCTATCCTCCCGATCATTTACCAAAATTAGTTCGTTAAAAATACGAGTAGCGTTCATTCGCTTATTACTAGTGCTGTTATATTGCAGTATAATTAACCAGATTGTTGAAAACTACTCAAGAATATGACTTAAAGGCACTTTAACTGAGTTTAAAAATTACAGTTAAGGTATTTTGTCCGTCATTGGCTCATTACCTAATATGTGTACATTTGGCCTGCGGAACGGCAAATTTTATTAGTTAAGTCTGGCCAACTTATAAAGTTGCAGGATTCTAGTTTCCTCTTGGTGACTTCACAATGCGTGGGAAATGCTTTTCTGAATGAGCTTGGTTATCATTAGTAAAAGCTTATCAATCTATTTGGCCTACTGGTCTCATCTTTAGATTAATAATTTATAGCAAGTCCATCTGTTATCACACAGGTTATAAAATTCTGTTAAAATTATGCTCTTGCTAATAGAGCATTTAAGTGTTGGAATAGTGTAGTTGGATTTATTGGTAGTAATAATGATTTCCTATTTCGAAATTCACATGCACCGTTAATAGTATATCCCCCTGATCAGTAGGTGTAGTAGGCTCCCCTATCTAACAGTGAATAGTAGGCAAATCAATTATGGGTATGTGGTTAGTACAAATCCAGCGAATTCAGCAGTACACAAGTCGTTATGTACTGTTAGCGCCCCGATGATGATGAAGAGATTAACGCATTTGTCGTGGAGTCATATGCCCATCGTAAACACTTAGCAGGGAGAGGTCAAATTTTGGTTTCTCATAACTAATATCTAACCAAATTGATTGCTGGAAAACGCTTTCCTAAATGTTTTTATATTATCTAGTCTGGAACCTTCTTAAAGATCGTTGGTGTTCAAGAAAATGGTGTTGTATCGCCAGATGGTGTCGCAGATGGAGGTGCCTATAACGAAAGTCAAGAGTACCAATGCATGGTTGCCACTGGCATCATGGAAAACATTGAAAGTATCATTTCTGTCATGGAAGATAATGCTGAACTCGTAGCTGCCTCCGAAGGGGTTATCGCCGAACTCATTCAAATTATTCTCAAGAACGAAGTTGACGATTTTTATGATGAGGCTTTCTCCCTTACCTGCTCCCTCACTTGCCAAAAAATTTCTTCCACCATGTGGGGTCTTTTCGAGTGGCTCTACCAGGCTTACAACAAGGATGCTTCCGATTATTTCTCCTCCATGGCCCCTGCTCTACACAATTACATTGAGATGGATCCAAAAGGCTTCCTTGAGTCTCAGGAGAGAGTTAAAATGTTCACAAATATGTGCATCAAGGTAAGATGATAGACTTCCGTTGATCTCTAACGTTTTTTTTTCGTTTATGCTAATTGATTTTACGAGAATTTCTATTTATCCTTTATTGCGAAACGGGAGGGTTGAAACATCTCCATAAGTATAACAGCTTAAATTATTGGGAAAAACTACATAAAATAACAGCAAAGATTTGTCGAGTTAGACTAGACTACTTAATCATAATATATCATGTGTTGTTGATCTCTCGTTATTCTCATTATTTCCGACAGCTTTGTGTATGTGAATAACGAACACGCTTTTCAAACCAGCTTGAATCCAAGTATGTCATTGTATGTATTGAAAGTAGTTGTAATCAGCAAGAATTTGAGTCTTTAAGGGTAGAAGACGTTACATCAAAAAGGGTCATTTATAAAAAGTGGATTGGTGTTGTAATTGCTGATAACGAGTGGCGAGACATTGGAAGGCTAGTGTGGGTAGCAAATTGGTGAGAGTTTTGGCGTCCAACGACTTAGAAAGTAAGTTTAAGGGAGTCCAGTATGGGTAAGTACTAATTTAGGTTTTGGTCAGGCAGATTGCAAATAGTCTCCAAATTAGTAATTTGACGAAATGGAGTGTCTTATTTGTGTTACGAGTAAAAGTAATTTCAAAAGGGTCATAACTTGGCTTGCATTAGGTCTCGAAATCTTGAGTACTGGTTATGTGGCCAATGCTCTCTGCTTGTGTTCTCTTGGTTTAGGTGAATTCTTCGTGACCTCCCTTTTTGTTTTCAGGAGTTGCAGAAGCTAGAAGAGGATGAGGATTCAGATTCTGGTGCAACGCATGCCGCAAAACTTCTCGAAGTTTTGATTATCAACTATCGTGGTCAATTGGATAGCTACATCCCTGAATTCATTGAGTGTGCTATTAACACCATCCGAATTACTAGTTCTACCGACCTTCGCGTTCGTTGTCTCTTGGTATGTGTCATGTCTATCTAATCGTCACTTCAAACATTGCGAGTTAATCGTGTGTTCTGCCTCTTAGATAATCATTGCTTCAATCATCACGTCATCCTCCCTTGTCCTTCCAATTCTCTGCTCGCACATGTGGCCGGAGACTCAGACTCCTATTTTGGAGAAAGTTCTCAAACTCTGGCTCGACAGTATTCACAAATTCCATGGGTATGTTGACTTTGTGTTAACCCCATCTATTCTACTTCTTTAGAGTTCATGACCAAAGGGTTTGCGTACTGGGCCTTTGCACTCTGCTCAATTTGAGTCCTGATCAGCGACCTCCAATTATTGATGCTGGATCTTCTCAATTCTTGCCCAATGTACTCCATGTCCTCAATGCTTTGAAGGAATCCTACGCAACTAAGAGGGAACTTGAGAGTAAGTTTAAGGGTTTACTTTGTGTGCTAACTGGTTCTCCCGTGCAAGCAGTCTGGGTAATTCCTTTTGGGTTGGTATTGTATCTTTTGGAATTTTCGGATATCTTAGTATTGGCGTAAGTTCCTTAATTTCAGCCATTAGAATACCAGCAATTGTCAGTACAACACTGAACTGAAGTAATTCTTCACAGCAATTACCTCTGGTCATTGGTTAAACCATTGACTTATTCTTTAATATGCTTTTACCCATTTACTATCACGCACAAGTAGTGGGTTGTTAAGACCTCACGCTTTCTTATACCACTTCGATCAATTAGCCTGTTCTTAGGAGTCTGTAATTATTGATCCATTCACTCCATTTAAGAGACTGAATCACTCCATGCTAAAACAGCTAAGTGCTATTAGCAACTTGAAGGGCCAGGACCTTAAATTCCGTTCTTATACTTATTGTTCATATTTATTCATTTACTGTTTTGAGATACCTTACCATGACCAAAATCATCTATATTAAGTATAATGTGCCCAGTACCACAATGACGTTCAGGAGTGAGACGGCTCTATTGGATCGTGAAATATAATGTGTATCCAACGCTTGACTATTACCATGATTGGAAGAAATAAAGAAGAGCTGAATAATAACGCTTAAGAGATTATTGACATTGCAGTTACTAAATATGTTCGTAGAACCAATTAATTCTAGTTTTTTTAAGACGCTTCAGCCATTTTTTCAAGTTCGATAACAGATGTGCTGGTTGAGACCAGGTCGCTGCACTAATTCCTTTGCTTTTTCTTGCAGAAGAGGAAGAGGAAGAGGACGATGATTCAGATGACGATGATGATCAATCAGATGAAGATGTTGAAGCCGTGGACAGTGATGCTGACGTTGTTGACGAGGAAGGCTCCAAATACTTGGATCTGCTAGAGGCTGTTGTAATTACTCCTTTCCTTTGCTTTCTCTCATTGTTTTGCTCTAGCTTAGTAGAATACTACCAAAATTCAACCATTTGAGTAGAAAGCACGATATTTTAAAGCCTCAGAAACCCATTATTAGGGTATTTAGCTCAAAGCACTAGAGGCCTACAAGTAGGGTCTAATCGGCTTCTGACTGTTGCAAAGATCAATGTGAGATACAAGGGCATGCATATCTAGTCAATGGGATCACAGCCATCGGAGGAAGGAGATGTTAATGCCATAGATAACTTATATCATCGCCGAAGTATGTTCCAAATACTTGTCTGTTCAAAGCTATTGTAGTTGTCCTTTCCTTGGCTTTCTCCCTTATCTTGTTTGGCAGAATTCTACTGAGATTAACCAAGCCTACAATTCACTCATATTGTAAGTAGGAATTAAATTTTTGAAGATTCTACAATATATTACGGTGTAGTCAGAAGTTTCAATTTGTTATTCTATAATTGATCGCAAGTGTGCATGAAAATATTCATTTTTCAGAGAGGAGGCAATGAAGCTGCCATTTTAGCAAGTCCCAAATGTTTTCATTTTGGCTTCTGTTTTAATTGGTCCTCTGCTTTAGTTTATATCGCTTTTGTTGTCTAAGTTTGCTCTAGTTTCTCGCTTATTTGTTTCTCTGTGAGTTATAAAGTGTATATTTCCTTCTTGTCTCTTATAGCAGCTCGTAGTGGTAATGCATATAATGCCTAATGTTTGAGTGCCTAATTAACGCTAAGGTGAATAGTGATACGGTATTGACTGCTGGCCTATCAACCCCTTTGTTGCATTTGGAGGGGAGGGTGTTGTTTAGGCTTTTCTGTTGGAAATACTGACAATGATATCTTGTCATCGGAGTGCCTGCGTTTTTTGACACATTTTGCTATAGTCGTGTATGTCATTAACATAATTCAAACTTCTTAGTGATTATATAGTTTGCTATAGTATGGAATAGAATCGATAATAGTGTGATATCAATGTTTCTTGAATTTTTTCTGCTAAAATCGTTTTTATTTTTTCTCTGCTTATAAACGGCAATTTTTCTTCTAAGGGTTTTTTGACGAAATTGGTGAGACCGAGTTGTGCCTATTAATGCTTCATAGCTTTTCTAATGGATTTGGTGTATTGAATAGCTATTAAAGGCTATTGGTATTTTTGTGCTACTTTTCTAACGCAATTTCTGTTTGTTTCTAAGGAGGCTGATCTTCATAACGAAGATGTGGACGAAGGTCTAGACGGTGATGTTGGTGAAGACGATTTTGACGATGATTACAGCACCAACTCTTTGATTGAAGCGTATACTACTGAACTGGACAAGGAGGAGAATGAGATGGATGAATATGTGACATTCTATCACCTCATGACCCAATTGGAAACCTCGGATACGGATTGGTACCAACGTCTCATAAGCTCCCTAACCGAGGCCCAAAAGTCGGAGTTCAAGGAGATCGCTCAAACTGCGATCAATTGTATGGCGCATAAAGGTAGGAAACTATAAATATTCTTGTATGGCTAGAGTAAAGGTGGCACTGATGAGAACCAATTCAATCCGTATATAGAAGCTGATAAATGCTACCGCATTTGTCAGACCTAATATAAGATGATCAGTGAACACAGAGTTTCTAAATGACGCTGGTGATTCTCTTTTGTATCTTTAGGGGTGGACATAGTAAAAGTCAATTCACGAAGATTAATTTTAACGGGTTTTACTTTACATTCAAGTGTATATGCCTTCAGCCCATTCATGCCTTTTTGATTGGTGTTAACTGTGTTCTTTCTTCATTGTAGAATCAAAGAGGATTGAAAAGGCGGGTGGTTACAACTTCCAACAAACGGACGTTCCCTCCAGCTTCAACTTTTCAGGTGACCCGCCACCACAAGCTTAATTAAATCGAATCGACTCCCCAATAATACCTCTTCTTGTTATTCTCTTCTGTTCCTCTCCGAATCTTCTATTTCCTGCCAACTTATCGTGACTGATTCGTACTTTGTAAAATAAATCGATCTTCTCTCACTTCGCTAGAACTTTCTGACTTTCTTCGACCTATTTGGTGGCCCAAATGCCTCTTCCAATCTGTCTTGACCCACCTCCCCTTGGACTCGTGTCTATGCGGGTTTTCTGGTGCCTCTGTCTTAATCCCCATGTTTCCTGCCTAACTATGTCTGAATTGTAGATTTCTCTTTGATCGTGGATTTGAATTTGTGCTTGATTTCTCAGTGGTTTGGTATATGGGGGGGGGGATTGGTTTATATTATCTTGGGTTTAAATAAGGGAATGATATATGTGAAATAAATTGCCACATTTCAATCGTTCCGACACCCTCCTTTAAGTAATATTTTCAATTCGAAAATCACAAACCTATTGAAGCTTGTGTTGTCAGAAAGGTATCTGGTTCAGAAATACGTAGATGCTGTGCAAGCCGCGACTGACTAGTTCGCTTTGTTACAAAGATAGTCCAGTAGTAATTGCGTTTTTTTGGAGATCCCGCCGTTTTCGATTAGAGCCTTAGATGTCTTTACCTTTTGTAAAGGTACTAAAATATTTAACTTAAGTATTACAAATGTGTAATTTTATTTATTTCAAGTGGCAGGCGTTTTGATAGTTATCATTAGCTGACTTCTGGGTTCATAGAGAAGAGGAGGAGCATCAAAGTGACAAAAGGTCGAGAGGCGGGACAGAATATGATTCACGGACGTAAAAGAGACAGACACAAAGGCTATGAAAAGGAAAGATAAGTACTGTGACAGAGGTTGAATATGACAGAATGGAGTCAGTAATTTGAAGTCAGAAGTCAGCTGCCGGTTTAAAGACTTTTTTGCCAGTTTCCAGGGTGCACCATGTGGAGGTAAGTCTACCGCACACCCCATGTACAATTTTATAAATAATAATAAATTTAATTGATTTAGTCATGTGTCACTATAGTGTTGCTTTTGACCAGAGCAGAGCAGGCTTAATAAAACGTTTTTTGCATAAGAACGAGCTTTTGTTCAACACAGTGAAGAAGCCCATTGGCGAGGGAGACATTCCTCACAATTTACTTTTGGTCCCAAGAAATTTGAAAACTCAGTGAATTCAGAAGCTAGCTTAATTTTATTAGCCCTCCAATGTGTGAAAAGCTGACTAATTTTTCTTTAATTTAGCTATAATTTATTTGCGATGAAGACATTTAATTAATGCGCCAATCTCTAGTGCGAATAGTTCGAAAGATTGCTCAGTTTTCACCTTCGAATATATGCCAAGAATTGTTGTGCAAGTCATAGCAAATGCCCTTTCTTCATTTTAACTATTTTTGTCCAGCTTTAATTTCTAAAAGCTATAACCTATAAAGCCACCCTCCCATATAGAAGCTAATTCCAGATTTCAATAGATACACACAGTCCCTTAAAAGTAAGCTTTGCTCCAGAACTATGCAAGTCACTTTTTCTCAATGTGTTAACGTAATTAATGGTTAAATATAAATTACTTATTTTTTGTGATTAAGAAGTACACATTTTTATCCAACAGCTCTCAGTTAAAGTTGGCCTTCCATGGATTTGGCATTGGATCCAGTCTGATTATTTTTCGTGGTCTTCTAAATCATCCAGAACAATGGATCTCCAGGGTTTTGGAATCCCAAGGTTGATGGATGTCACAATTGGGTCTCCACTGGATCCTTTTTCACTTCAGGAGATACAATCGCACCCAAAGAACGGAGGTGTCTGCAGCAGTACAACCCAATTTTGAAGCCAACATGAGACCCCGTCTGGTATTCTAATGACAAGTGCCTGGTTTATACTGCTAATAATTGTACCTATTATGGTAGGCTTAATGGGTGTAACCTTCAAGAAATATTGAAAATGAATCCATCAGGATAGGCAAAGATACATCATGGATATATATATTAAAACTGGCGATACTGTTCCCTTCTAGAGAGTAATCGGTCTACCAAGAACGATTTCCTCTAATTGCTCTAATTTTTCACTCAACAGCACCCATCACTTTGAATGATGCCCAAGCATGATTTTACTTTGATTTCAATGGCCAAGGCATTTTTGTGTGACTTAAAACAGGTGTGTGTGATTTGGAAGTTCTGGAGAAAATAAAAATGGTGCAATTTCGTTGCCCCTCAAGGTGGCGTATGTGATCTGCCTGGTGATCATCCAGACAAGACGTAGGGACTAATTGTTGCTTGAGTACGGTAGGCCTTGAGACAATTCGGAGTCTAACAAATGTAGGTATGGAAAATTTCACAGTGCCCTTGGAATTCCTCACTTTTGCATTATCTATAACTAATGTACATGAAGCTTAATGACATCAACAGGAATTGCAATAGATTGCGGGAGATGGCTAATGGTGCAAAGGGAAATGAAGGTCATTTTGGACAGAATTATTAGATGCAGGAGTAGTGGATGTATTGGATACGTCGCGTGCCATTTTTGCCTCAATTTTGCAAATAAGAAACATTTTTTGACGGAATGTGAATTTCTTGATTTGAGGAGAAATAAAAGATGTTTTCTTTTGGTCAGATCAAAACACCACAGTTGGTAGATGATGCGTGCTCACTGCTTGTTATTACCTTATTTTCCTCCAGAAATGGCTCAATAATGCAGATCACAATAAAAACACATCACTCCATCGACCCTGTAATTTAGCACATTTTATCCGATAATTGACAGTAAATTGTTAATTACAATTTTTTGGTTAAAAAAGTTGATTTCAGCCAACAGAACTATTTATTGTTTCAATTTGTTAAACTCCCATAATATTAAAAGATAAAGCATACAATTGGGTTCCTTGCCAGACTAGACTTGTAAACAAGCGAGACTTTCAATATCCTTTAATGACTCGAGCTAATCGATTTCTTACTTCACCCAAGTGGGAAGGTAACATTTCCATGGGGCCACTAAAACACCCCTCCCTGAAAGAGCTCAAGAGGTCAAGGCTTTTGGTGGGGGGGGGGGGGGGGGGGGGCGGGTACCAAGTTTTCTTCACACCTTGAAGCAAATAGGCCAGTTAATCGATTTGTAATTAAGGTGGTAGATCAGTGAAGACGTGCGCGCGTTTAGATCAACACAATGACCAGTACACGAGCTCTTATGTTAAAGTCATAACAGATGGAGATGGTGATCCAATATATTCCTCACCCCCTCCTCCTTAAACTCTTCACAGAAAAGTACAATGCTCATTTGCATCTATTTACCTGACAAGAACTAATTGTGCAATAATGTAGCAATTAGAAAGTAAGCGTATTGGCAGTATTAAATTGATTGTTTATTCAGATTCACATTGAATCATTTAGGTTATTATTCGGAGCTGAAACAAACACCCATTCCTGCTTCGTGTTAAATGTCAATGGATTACGTATTTGTTGGACTAACACATTATGTGAGCGAGACACATATAGACAGAAAACTCAAATGTATACACATTACCCGATTCATACATACATACAGTGCCTATTGATTATTGATTTGCTTGGAGGTCAGTACACTTACGACATCAGTAGCCCGTCGGCACATTCCAGAATGTTCGAGCGCGTATGAGATTTTAGGTTCAGACACCTTAGAGTTGTGTTCTCCACATATTTGCATTGCATTACACATGAATATTCAGTAATCGCCCTGTTTAATAAGAATTTTTGGTTCCCCATACTGTAATATTCGTGGGAGATTTTAAGCATAAAAGATTTTTGTTTACAGAATATAGAGTCAACCAAATGGCCTCTTAATGCTTTGTCCATAAAAGTTTCAACCCAGTTGGCTACCTCGAGTACATACAGCTGTCGAAAAATTCTAACTTAAATTTACCTCTCCCATGTCATAACAGTTGATCATCACGCCATAGTGCTGATTTAATTTGTGACGGTGAGAAATAGAATTATTGTAAAGAACCATAACTTCAAATACTAGCTATCGCAGTTATGTTGCGTCGGAACAGTAAGAAATTGCAAACTGTAAAATATTGTTCTGTCTACTCAGCCATTTGGGGAAATTGAATTCGAAGTGGCATGATTGACTATCATGATTGGAACCTTGTCTTCTGGCATTTGCCAAACATCAGTGGATGAATCATGATATTTGAATATTTGAACGTGAACAGCCCATTTGACAACTGTTCGCAAACCCGAGAATGAAAATCAAATGAATTTATTCTCTGCATCTTCCTAATTGCCCCTCCCCAATCATTTATAGGATTTTCTATTGATCGATTTCAATTACCTCTCTTTACTTACTTCAATATGTGAGATGATTTCACTTTTCTTTAAATCGATTTCTCCAACAATTTAACCCCCATGTAGTGTTAATATGTGTACCCATTCACAAATTGGCTTTAAATTATAATTTCCCAAAATTCAGTCAAATGTGTGGGACACGTTATCGCTGTGTGCATCATCGTATGCCTGTATGTCTGCTCGCCAGGATTGGGAAGTGCGGCCGTACAACTCTGTGTGCAGCAACCGTACAGTGACCAATCATTAACCTCTGTTTAACCTAATCCCCCATCCTGATCATGAGTAGCTCCCTGCGTGAACACACTTTATCCGCAATACCCATACGGAATAAACGTCCTCCGTGCTACACGTCTGTTTCCTTTATAGCTGGGGTATAGCTTAGCTGGTTCTGGGAGTCTAGCTAGATGTAGGAGAATCTGCCACAGAGATTTCTGAGTCAGTCAGGCTTTAATAAAGTAGCAATCCGCTACAAATGCTTCATATTAATAAGATTTAGAAATAAAGCACAACTTTAACCTACAATCTAGCCCTATATTTAGCCATTTTTAAATTCATTGTTTTAGACTCGTGAAAGTGCGAAAAGCAACTTCGTTGGTACCATTGAGATAAAAAGTGTATTCTAGTGCAATACTCTTACATAAGAGTCGCATTATTTAATACTACTGCGGTATTAA